CCATATAGTGGTCTTGTGAATGACTTAAATTTGCCTGTTCTGCTACTCTCCTTTCGTTCTCTTCCCTCAACTCTGCCTCTCTGTCAAAGGACATCTCAAAGTCGCTGATGGCGTCGTCCCTCAAGTCGGTCATATCTTCAAAGTCAAGGTTGGGTGTTTCTTCTTCCTTCCTTGCGGTCGCTTCCTCTGCCATCTTTTTGAAGTTCATTTGCTGTAAGTCTGCTGGGTGGATGTTGTTTGTGTTCAGTGCTTGACCCTGCGGACTTTCGTGAAAATACCAAGCGTTCCTATCAAAGATTTTTCTGATGTCATTGGTTTTGAACTTTTCCCTGTCTATTTCCTTGATGAGTTCCGCGTAAGTGGGTATTCGTGTCAATCCCTGTTTTGCGTTGATTACTTCTGCTGTCATTGCTATATATTAATACTTTAGATTTTTATATTAATCTTGTGTATCGCCTCTCAACCACTGCTTATACTCATCAATTCTCTGTTTCATATTCTGGACGTTCGCCCCGTAATCTTCCAATCTGTGATTTTTCCTCACCTCCCTCAACCTTGTCATTTCGTTCTGTAGCATCTCATTCTCTTCCTTCATCCTCTGCTTTACTTGTAAGACCTTGTAGTCGTGCTCGGTGTTGTGATATTCAAGAAGACGCTTTAGGTAAAGATGATGGTTGTGAGTTGGCATCCTTGCCGTGTTGCTGTCGTTGTGGTAGTAGTGGTCATAACTACTATACACTTTTTTTCTTCTGTCTGGCATTTCGGGCGTTCCGCTCCTGTAGTTGGCACTTTTGTTTGAATGGACGGTTTGTCTTCTGTTGATGTCCTTGCGGACGTTTTCGTAGATGTCAGTTTTGTTGAGTTCCGTTTTCTGTTCCTTGATGTTCATTTTTATATATAATACTTTACAAAATTTTTGATGCTAAAGATTTCAATTTCTCTCTCGTCGCTTTGTTCTTTTCCTCTTTGGCTTTGTTGTAGGTGTCTCTGGCGGTCATTGCACTCTGTAGTTCTTCCTTCAGTTGCTTTACAAGGTCGTTTTTGAATGCTTCTGGGTCAAAAGGTGGTTTCGCCCTTGACGGTCTTACCCTTTTGGGCTTTGGGACTACCGTTGCTTGTTGCGGTTTCTCTTGAACTGGTGTTTCAATTATTTCTTCTGGTTTCTCCTCTTCCTTCGGTGCTTCTTCCTGTATTGGTTCTGGTATTGTTTCTTCCTTTGGTTCTTCATTATCAATCTCTTTTACGACTACCTCTGTCATATATTAATACTATAGATAATTTTTTATACTTTCAAAATCTCGTGCCTCAAATACGGTTTGTTCAATCCTTCCAGTTTGAAGGTTCTGTTTCCGACGTCGTCGTATTCTATCTTGACGATTTTGTAGGATTGATTGCTCCACTTTGAGTTATACTCCTTCCTCTCGGTGTAGTTGTCTTTTTTCTTCTCAAAGACCTTGACCATATCATTCACTTTGACCTCTGGATATTTGCGAGTGTTCTTTTCCCTCCTTGTCAAATTCACCCTGACGTCCATATGGTTCTTGTCGTCGTGGGCATCCTTGGGTTTCATTTTTGTAGATGAATGGACGGTGTCGTTGTATTTATCCAACGCTTTGGACAACATCACAGTCCAACTACCACGATTAAACCTGACCCTATCGTGAATCATATTCTTCATTGTTCTGATGAAACGCTCCACAACATTAGCGTGTGTGAGGGTGACGACGTGAGTGATGCCTTCTTTCTCAAAAAAGTCTTTAACTCCCGCTTGGAAGGCACGGTCATTATCACTATAAACGGACATTGGAAAACCCATTTTGTTGAAACTCTCTTTCATTGCCGACAAAGTGATTGGTCCTGACTTTTCCTTCATAGGGACGACGTTAGCCAACTTGCTGAAGATGTCAATGACTACCAACCCGTATCTCGGCTCACCATTCTTGATTGGAACTTCAACCTCTGGTTCTTTGGTAAGGGGTTTCATATCCATTATGTCAATCTGATATTCAAACCTTGCGAACGGGGCGGTGTAGGAGTTTGAACCCCTGTATTTTCTAATCTGTTTGTTGGGCTGTTTCCTCATAAAGGTTTCCACATCCACCCTGTTGATGGTCGGGTCTTGTTCCTTCGCTTTTTTGAGGGTCTCATTGATTGAGCCGAAGCCCGTTTCAAGATTGTAATAGACATTGCTTATGATGTCATCTCTTGATAGTCTCCTTGCCATATATTATAATATTAGATTTTCAAAATTATCACCAATAAAAAAAATATACTTAAAGAAAAAATACCTATATATAGTAAGACTAAATAAGATGACTAAATTTGACTGTGGATGTCGTATAATGAGTGAGTGTATCACCTTAAATAATGGTGATTACAAAAAACCTAGTTGGAATTATTTGTTAAAAACCTTCGTGAATGTTTGTGGGAAGTGCTACAAGAAGCAATTGAATTCCAATATATGGAAAACAAACTTATGGAGATGGAAAAGCAAAGAATGGAAATGTTTTTGGAAAATGAGGATGAAGAACAAGACACATACTTTGACCTGACAGAGTTGAAGGAACATCTCAAAACCCTCCCACCTAATGAAAGACACAAAGTGAAGGATTTTGAGAGGTTAAGAAACCTTGCCAATGGACAAGACCCCAACGAAGGAATGAGTGAAATAGATATGGTCATAAGAGAACTGGAAGAGGAGGAAAGGGAAAATAAAAACCAACCCGAACCCGAAAACTGAACGAGCCCCCAAAAACTACTTAAAGAAAAATGACTATATACAGTAAGAGGATGCTATTTACTTATAAAAACTGTGGATGTTGTAAAAAAGAAATGACTGACATTAAGGTTTTATTGAACAACATTTTTCCTGCTGGAATTTGTGATGAGATATGTGATTACAACCTTCACTGTTCAAAATGTAAAGAGTTGAATGATAAGGAACGCAGATATATAACATTCAACTATCATTTCGACCATTTTGAAGAGAAAGAACTAACAAGAGTTGAAAAACAAATACATTTCTTTAAAACAAGGATGGAAAAATCACCTATCTATTTATCCAACACCGACCGAACAAATTTAAGAGTAATGAAGAGAGAAATAGATGCTTTATTGGACACCTATAAACTGAAGGTAGAATTTCAAAAGGATAAGATATATCTTCAAGCGATTAAGTCTTATGTCAAAAACCATTGGAAATACACTTATCATATTCTAAAGAACTTTCACGACCTTAATTTCATCAATTACAGTAAGCAACGAAGATGCTGGTGGTTTCCTAATGTTGAACGAACTTTTATGTTTAGAAACAGGGAGTTCAAGATAAAAGACATTTTGGAAATTTTCTTGCGTGAATATGTTGAAGAACTGTTCAACGGTTATGAGAAATATTTGAACATAGAAGAAATAAAAGAGCACCTACAAAAAGTGATAAATACTTAAAGAAAAAAATATCTATATATAGTAAGAGAAAATGAGTAGAGCAAAAATTGAGGTTATAGATACAGGGAATATTGGTATATATGCTGACTTTGGTAGTGATAGTGAGGACGATGATTGGGAAAGAAAACAAATAGAAAAAGAAGATGAAGAGATTAGAGACTTTGTAAAGTGCCATCCTATGCCTTCACCAGATGATGAGGAAGGAGAAAAGTTTTGGAAGAAAGTAATTGATAGGATGAAAGAAGCAGAAGGAGTAAATGGAATGATAATATATTCATTCGTAAGATTTGATATAATGAAAAAGATGTATGAAAACCTCACTGATAAAAAAGTCATCATTGATTGTGGAAAGGAACTCAACCGAGATGGAGAATTCAACGCTATGATTATCAACCTAACGCTTTTATCAATAGCAATGGATGAACTAAATGATACAAACAAACCTTGCTTAACACAAATGAGAGTGATTGAACACTGGTGGGATGGAATAGGAAAGTGGAAAGCATAAATGATTAATTCATAATATCTTAACAACACATATTATGAAGTAATCACCCACCCAAACACAAACAAAAACCCCAACAGCCTAAACAAATCCTACCCCCCTTCAATCCAAACATTGACACATCACTTTAGCAACAAAATTACCCCCAAAACCCCACCTGAAAAAACATCAAAAGCGAAGATGAAACATTGAACCCCAACACAAAATCATAACAAGCAACATACAAACATATACGCCCTGAAACCCCCATTTTTCTATTTTTTTCTGTGATTGACGAGGTGTGATTGACTAGGGTGCCTTTCAGGACCCACTTAAATAGCTGGTCATCTTCAGGGCAATCCACAGCCTATCATCATTTTCCCTTCAAAAACCGGCAATTTTAGGGGAAAAAAACAGTTCGGGACAGACTCCTGCAGGTTAAATGGGCTCACGCTGATCACCCATGAAAAACCTAGCTGGTGCACACCTCTAGTTGCAAGACGCTCATCGCCGTGCCCAATTTTTGGCTCTCAGAGCAACACAGCGTTTCCGCGAAATGACCCCAGACCTTCCACAATTTCGCCATGAAAAGCCACAGATCCTGTTTGTTGCACGTTTGTTGCACGTTTGTTGCACGTTTGTTGAACCCAAAGCAGGTGATTTTGAACGGCGATCAGCAACAACTCCAGGCCACCAGGGCCCCCCTTGCGGTCGCAGTGAGCACATCCGCAGATCAACCGCGATCCGCCGTCCTGAAAAACGACGGGCTGAGTCCGGATCCCTGTTTGTTTCAATAATCAATTGATAATCATATACTGCATATATATATATATACATATAATCTAACAATAATATAACAATGATATATATATATATATATTGCCAATATCAACATATACATAATAATATACATACATTATATATATATATAGACACATACATGTGCATCTGATGGCATTATGTAAATTATATATGTATAATACATTATAAGACACATACATAAAGGGAACACAACAAACAAGTCATCCCACGATCTAGCTGCCAGGTCCGGCCGCTGCCGTAACACGGCAGTATGCAGGCGGGCAGCTCAGGATTTCATCGTTTTTTTCTGCGGGATTTCATCGAATCTAACCAATCAATATGATTGACAATGGAGTGGTTTAAGGGAAAATCTGGAAACCAGGGTTTTTTGACCACCTATTCACCACAGGTGAGGTCTCCAGATTACAACAAAGGTGCAACTCCTTCCTCTCCTTCTTCCTCTTCCTCCTTCGTCTTCTCCTCCTCCTCCTCCTCCTCGCTTGCTGCACTTGCTGCACTCGCTCCCATATTGGCAGCTCCGGATGCTGCGGAGTGCGCCTAAACCCGACCGCCATATCGCGAGCTCAGGAGGCTGTGAAGTGGGGCTGGACCTGAGCTCATGCCAGAGAGAATGCCAGGCAGAATGCCAGACAGAATGCCAGATAGAACGTCAGAACAAAAATCCGATAGAATGCCAGAATAGATGCCAGAAAGACTGCCAGATAGAATGTGAGAACAAATTTCACATAGAATGCCAGATACAATGTCAGTTGGTGGGGGTCACTCGAAGAAAGTAATTTGGTTGTTTGTTTTTTTTGGTAGCATTTCCCTTCCACCTATCCAATGTATCCATCTCCCTTTTTGAACAAACAACGGGGGCGTTGGGGAGCGACGAATTGAGTTGTCGGTACTTTAGATCCATGATGGGTGATGGGTGATCTTATTTCAATGGCCATTCCAGGAACCGGTACCTACCATATATAAGGCCTATGTAAGGCCTATGTAAGGGGATATACCCCCAAAATATGGCCTTATATAGTACAGTACCTCCATTTTAGGATCCTGGAATTCCCATTGATTATTTGGTTGACTTCATCCGAAACTGAATATTTCGTGGACTCCACAAGACAAAAATCGATTTGGGGATGGCAAATTGCCTTGGCTGTCGATGGCTCGGTGCTTTCGAATTTCCCATGCAGAACCGGTGGCTCAGGGTGGCAAGAAGGGTCGAGGACCCAAGGTGGGGCTGCGGTAGTGATGTCACTGGATTTTTTGCGATTTTTCATCTACAAGACATGGGAATCAGTTATGGAAAATCTACATCTAAAATTTTAGATCCAGTGATTTTTGTCCAAAAAAAAACGGAACGTGCAATTTCCAGGGATCAGTTATGGACCGTGATGGATTCGATTCAGAACAAATGTCCCATGTTTCGTGAGGCATCTGCCAGGGGAGCTCCGCCCGGAGATCCCAATAAGGAACGACTGCTGTACATGTTAACTTGCCAGGAACTTAGTTGATGTTATTGTTTCAGTTGGATGTTATTGGTACTTAGTTCAGATTGTTTCAGATTTTGCTGCCTGAGTTGGACGACTGTTGGACTTTCAACGGACGCTCTGGTTTTCTGATCTGGCACTGTGCGTGAAATTGATTGGACAATTCCTCTATTCCACAGCGGTTGGTTGATGGAGAAACATGATCCCGATTTTGGGACGACTGGATCTGCGTGGCGATTTTTGGAGGCCTGACTGGCCACATTGTGACGGTGAAGCTGAACAATGGCCAGATCTGGGAGGGGAACTTCCACTCTTGCTCCAGCGAAGGCCACGGAGAGGGAGGCTGATCGTTGGGTTTCATGAGAAAGTCAGCTGAACCGAACTTTAACTGTAGATGGATCTATAATATGTATAATATATATATATATATTTACATATGTATATTTATCATGTGTATCATGTGTATTATCTGCATTATATGTATATTATATATACACACATATTATGTTTATATACATATTATGTACGATATATACGTATTATACTCAATTACATATTATATATATATATGATAATATATATATATATACATATAATTATATATATACATATGTCTTCACTATAGACCCTAGTTGAGCAATTTACAAACCTACTTACCTGGCTTGGGCGAAGTGGATCCTTGTTGCAGGAGACATTTCCATCACCCTGAAGACGGCAAGACAAGTCCCCTCCGGTCGTGGAAAGAGTGGAGAGGTTAGTCACTTAGTGCGGCCCATGCGGCTGGGAGGAGCTTGAGAATTCTTGTTTCTTTGGCTCGGTTATCAAACCCTGTGTGGTTGGAGCAAGATAGTCTTCTATCAAAAAAAGAGATGGGTGTTTTGAGACATCCTGGCACCTTGGGTTGATGATTGGAAGGAGCTTCTTGGCAAAATTAAAATGTGGAAAAAAATAGATGGGTACCGCCCACACTTTGGACAAGATGCATCAATCTTGACAACTATGGGTGTTTCTTTGAGTCGTGCTTGCTTCCCCACCTGCTGAAGTATGCGCCCAAATCCATCATCCAATCCCTATTTTTGATGATTGAATCCCGTAAAAATCCCCAAAAAACATATTCTGCTTATATCCTCCGTCAACTTGGAGGCATCCTTTATGGAATCCCCTTGATTTTTATGGTGAAATCACCGCCCTTTGCCGGTGACATCCCATACATCCCATCCCTTTCCAGCGCTGCGGGGCGCCGCTCAGCCCTTGGAGACCATGGTCATCTACGGCAAGGACTTCGCACAGGCGCGGTGTTTTTTACGCACTGGGATGATTTTTTGGGATTTCTAGGGTCTATTGGGGATATTTCTGGGGATTTATAAGACTACATTCCCACTTTTTTAAAGACCACGATCTCTTAAGGTGATGAGGATTTTTCAGGGGATCTAGAAATGGGGATATGTGGTCCCATAAATATAGAAATGTGATGAAATGTGTGGATTTAGACATTCCCACTTTTTTTTGAGACCACATTTCGATATTTATGGGGATCTCTTGCGGATATATGGGGATTTAATGTAGATACTTCTGGGGATCTTTTGGGGATCTATTTATTTACGACAATAAACGTATTTCCATGATTGTCATACATAGATACTATTGGTAAACCCAATGCCATAAACCATGCCCGAAATCAGCATTTTGATGGGTGGTAAACCCCATACTCAAAAGGTAGGTTTTTGGCATTGGCCAAAATTCCATCATCATTCCCAGGGGCCCATCTTTGGGACCGGCTTCCATGGGGCTGTTTCGTATGACGGATGGGGATGGGGTTATGGGAAGTCCGACGGATCTTAAGAGGGTCGGAGTATAATCTTTTAATGATTGAGTATTGATCGAATGATATTCAGAACGTACTAACATTAATGGTTAACCATCAAACAAGGTTCATAGAATTCTTATGGGAAGAACAACGGAAAGAAATCTAGTAATAAAGATGATTGTCTGTATTACATTTATTACTTACAACAAATCTTTAAGATGGTTCATTGAACGAATCACTACTTACTAAGGATGAATAAAGGATGGCTTCATAATCTTAACAACCACTATTGACCATGGCTGATAAGCATGGTTGCAATCTGGATAGCCCCAATCACCTACTATAGCTTCCTTATCAGTCAGAACAAAGGTGAGCGATCCTTGACTTCCTCCATGTCCTTGCTGATTACTCACGAAAATCATGACGATTCTTACATATTACTACCTGGACAGCCTGGACATCCCCAAGCTCTTTTTTGCGCCCAATTTCTCTCCCTATTGGTTGCATCCAAGTTTTCAAATTGTTGAAATCCCATTCCCCTAGTATTTTCCATGCCCCCCCAAAAAACACCCCCTGGTTTAGTATTGGATCTATCCGTGATGGGGTCCCTTTTTCGGGGGGTATTTAATATTGCGGGGGAAGGGATTATATATGTAATATAAATCCATGAGTATATATATATATATTGTTCGTACATTATGTGTATATATATAATTATAGTTATTTTTGTAAACCAGGGAGTCTAGGGAGGTACTATATGTATATATAGATGTTTATATCAAAGAACAGAATCTATCTTTCTAACCTTTATTTTAATCTATTGTTTGACATTTTGTTTTTTCTCTTAAACTGTATATATATATATGTATATATATATATTATCTCTAACCTCTCTCTCTCTCTATGCATATATATATACACATATACACACATGTTCTATGAAACATATCTATCTCGGACCACTTTTCACTAGGTCTCTGCCCGGAACATTCCGCCGATGGAGCCGAAGTGCCTCGACTAGATGACCGGAAGGCAGTTCAGTACCTGAAAAAAAGGAAAACATGGAGATTTTACCGGGCAAAAATGGTGGTTTTACTGGGGAAACTGGTGGTTTTACTGGGGATCCGGGAAAATGGTGGTTTTACTGGGGAAATGTGGTGATTTAAGCAACAAAGCATGTAGATTTTGCAAGGAGATATTGTAGATTTTGCCAGGAAGCATAGAGATTTGACCAGCAGGAACATGGGACAGGGAAGCAACATTGGGGAAATCCTTGGTAGTTTCGTTAAAAGATAGACATATGGAAACATGAGGGTTGGACGAGTAAACATATGATGGCGGGTTTTATCCGCCAAAAAACGGTGATGTATGGCAGCAAAAACAGGTTTTCTTTTGCAATTGACAGCTTCAAATAAACAAATTTGGTCATCTTTAGTCACAAGAATCGAATCCCAGGGGAATTGGATCCGCACAGAGATATCAAACAGCAAAGCCATCAAGGGGATAGTCGTGAAATGATAAGATATGGATTGCGGCTTGAAGAGTTCTTTGAATGTTGCTGGGAATCATTATTTCTACACAATATACATATATATATATATATCATCTATCTAGAATATGTGTATACATATATATATATATATTACCTCTTCTGAGTTCTCAGAGTTTTTGGTATCCTCCTGTCACCTGACTCGGCTAGCTGGAGAATTCGACCACTGAAGTCCCATTTCCACCTGATTTTCCAAGGTCCAGTGCCAGCGCCTTCAAGACCGATGCAGAGATAGTCTGGGAGCCTGTTTTAAGTCATTCAGAGAGATGGAGTTGGAAAACATGATGCTCATCAAAAACACATATCTCCATGATTCACGGGCTAAATCTCCATTATGGTTAGATCCCCATTCTTCATGACTGGCTAAATCACTAAATCCTCCCAAAACCGCGGCAAAATTTCCCCTGGTGTCCCCAATCCGAGGCGGAACCCTGGGGTGATACCCAGAACCGCGAGTTAGTGGCGTGGTCCGCAGGTGGAAACCAAGTCGGGGAGACTCAGTTGGTGTGTGAGCAGCTGGGGATGGAAAGCTTCAGCTTGGCATTTAATGGAGATAAACCGCCATTTCCTTCCTAATTGGGTTGGGAAATTCACCTCTCAACATTTCTAGAACGTTCTGGCTAAATTTTTGGGATTAAGCCAATACAGGGTTTGGATGGAGTAGACCATCTGGATTCGTCCCAAAGTCAGGGAGTTTGAGACAACCCCACCTCGCTCAACCAAGGTTCTTCCCGTTTGGTAATTGGGTGTGTCTGAAAATAGTGTACCCCTAAACCCAATGGTTAATGATCATTATCCCTATTAAATGGCTATAATTGGGAATATACACTATTTTCAGACAAACCCAATTAACCTACTATAAACCAGAAATGGAAGATCCCTCATTGGCAACGGAAATTCCTGAGTTTGTCAGGTCAGATTGCTGGCAGTATCATCCCATTTTCGATGCTGAGCTCCCTTTGTGTTGTTGAACCTCCGTTGGTTCATGCCCACTTTTGGTGGATCAAGACATTCCCCCAAATTAAAAGAACCCCAAATTTCCGTATCCAAGTTCCGAAAACCGTCCTCCAGAGCTGATATTTTTTGGGTTCTGGTATCCAATTTCATGTGTCCCCACCGAAAGGCAAATCCTGCGGGAGTTTCCATGAGTTTGGACTCCACCCGACAGATTGGGGTGCGACCTGGGGCTGTGGGATGTGGTCAAATTACTTGGGGTTTCTGGGAGGGTTCTTTATCAAGACAAGAAAGGGAGTACTGATTGGGGTATCCATCAAGACTGGGAGTTAGTTTCAATCATCCAGTCGCCTTTCCATCCGAATGTCACCACTGCTTGGGTATCAAAATCAATGCTCAACCCCCAAAATGGATGATCTAAGACCACAAACCATCAATTTTGTCCGTGAATTTCTATTAAAAGTAATTAACCCAATTGTTTTGATGCAATGACGGGGCCATAGCCATACCTGGGAGGATTTGGGTCTATCATTGTAATCAAGCCCTAGGAATCCCAAAAAAGGCCCAGCCAAGGTTTGAGGCGTTCGAAAACATCTCCAAAGTTAAATTGTTCGGTGTACGGTTCAATCCAATATCTCCCTTATTTAAGTCTTATATTATCCCGACTTTGGATATCTTTGGGTTCTATCTTTGACATTTGACTGCTTACATCCGCATCATTTCTACCAGCTGCCCCTTAGCGGGGATCCCGCCCTTTGGTCTCGGTATGTTTTTCGATCCGCCAGACGTGGAACCAGTTCGAACGGAACAAGGAAATGTTCGGCATCACTAGCACATACTCCGAGGAGCTGCGTGTTTCTGGTGATCCTGAATCCTGGGGCTCATCTTGGAGAATGGGATCTGTAGATAGATCCCCTAAAATTACTGTTAGTAGATTAGAATCACTAATTGGAATCACGAATTGTCAATAAATATCATAAATGATCTAATTGGATTACTAAATGTCTAATCCCCTTATGGATAATTCATAAATGATCTATGGATGGCTTACGCGGCTTTTTTTTTTGTGAGGACTTGTACACCACCAAGTTGGATCCCAGCAAGATCCCGGAGCAGAAGAGGAAAGATGTTCCTTGGATGGGTCAGTTGTCACCATACTGGGGGAAGAAGGATCCAGTGGATCCAGTAACCATCTATGACTTAGATATCTTAGATTGACTGGATGGTCCTGGATGGGTAGCGTTTGGGCACCAGGCTTTTGACTAATGGTGAGGCGGAAGAGGTTTTCAATGGTTTTCAGATCTTGGTGTGGTACTGTAGGTAGGATTTATATTAACCTGACACTGGAATTTGGAGCCATATGAAATTAGATGATCTAGCGATTGAACATGGAGATACAATATAGGAAGATCAGGTTTCCGGAGGGTAGTGCTTCATGTTCATGTTCATGTTCATCTTCTTGGTGTTGCTGCTGTCAGTACTGGTGTTGGTGTTGCGGCAACAGTGTTGCGTGCATGGCTGCAACTGCGTCAGCCAAGGCTGAGCGAATTGCAAGGGAAATTGAGAGTGGTCAGTCGCTTGCCTTGCACTAACTGGGATCCAGATTCATTTGGGCTCCCATATCTGGATCCATGTTTGGGAACATCTTGTACACATACCTGCGGGAATGCTTAAGATCAATAGGAACTACAGATCAAAATCCCAGCTTTCGGGTTCAACATAAACCACCATAAACCCAGATATTGCACTTGGCTTCCTACAGACTGGCCATCACCGTCGCGAGATCCAGCCTCCCGAGGAACTACAGCAAAATAGAGGAAGGCGTTGCGGATGTCCGGCCCTCAACTCTGGAGTCGATTCTTCACCAACAAACATACCCTCTGGTAATTTAACGTAGCAATTTATTGTTGATTTACTTATCAAACACGTTTTGTGTTTTTTTTTTCCATAGCTACGTTAGTTTACCAGAGGGTAGTAAAACACCAGTAGTGAAATTAGGCACATCCCAGGATTCACATCCAGCGTTCAGGGGTGACAAGGGGGACGTGTCAGGGTCAGCTTCCGTGGGATCAACATGGACTGCTGTGGAATTTCAAGGATTTCACAAGCCATGGGATTTCCTCGAGAAGAATCCCTTCCCCAATATCAAATACAAGTAGAAATCCTTTTTTTGGTATCGGATCGAATCATGCATAAGGGGCCCATCGAACAAAATCGTGGGAAGGGATCAGGGACTCTGAAACCATCTATCTATCTATCGATCCATCCATCCATCCATCTATCCATCCATCCATCTATCCATCCATCTATCTATCCATCCATCTATCTATCTACCTATCTATCCTATCCATCCTATCTATCCTATCCATCCGATCTATCCGATCTATCCTATCTATATAATTGATCTGTTTGATCTATCTGATTTATCTGATCTATCCTACCCTACCCTACCCTACCCGACCCGACCCGACCCTATCCTATCCTATCCTATCCTATTCGATCTATCTATCTCTATCTCTATCTATCTATCTATCTACCTATCTATACGGTTCTTCCCCATGTTTTAGTAGATTGTATACCAGTATACCAGTTTGGATGGTTTGAACCTCTATAATTAGGTTCAGAGCCACATTCTAAACAGCATAAATCACACATTTAGTTGATAAAAAACATAAAAGTCCAAGAATGGAGATGTCCCGAGCAATTTGGTGGATCCACAACTCCCCAGGATGTGGACGAAGAAGCACAGTTTAGTGCTGTGGGGCCACATCGGGTGCCTTGGTTAACGGTTAATGGGTGGACATGGAGGAAACTATCCAGGGACTTTCTGACATGATAAGGCTACTGGTTGGTGCTTTGGAACATGAATTTCATTTTTCCATATATATATATATATATATATTGGGTTCATGTCATCATCCCAACTGTTACTCACTCCATCATTTTTCAGAGGGGTAGGTAGCCCCCACCAACCAGGGGTTTTTTCTGAACCCACCGACCTCTAAGGATCCGATCCATGCGCCTTTGACCATGGAGCACGGGGAAAGGGTTGGGATTTTTTTCGCAGCAAAGATGGTCGGTACCGGATATTGAAGGGTTGTCCAGAAATTAGAGTAAATATAGCCCCAATATCCCAATATCCTGTTGGAAATAGAGTAAATATAGAGTATACCCCCAAATTGTTATTTTCAAGTTGTTTTTAAGGGGGAAGATGGTACTAGACCACACCATTGGATTTTGGTGGTTAGATTCCAAGTGCCCTTGATTTACAAAATCCCATCTTTCATATACCGTAGTAAAATCTGCATTAAGTCCAATTTTTGATGGTAAATCTTCAATGCATTAAATCTCAATGTTTGCTGGTGATAACCAACCAGTTTGACCCTGATTTCTCAGTGAATTCCACCATCTAAAATTGGACAATTTTCCTTTCGGATGCCACAAATTTTGGTTGCGCATTCGAGTTAGTCAGCGGGTGATCACCATTGATCACCATTTTACAGCCCAATAGCAAGCATTGGGATTTAATCTAAACATTTAACCAACAACAATTGGATTTGACATGGAATGTCCCCAAATCTAGATGAATTTAAGATCACGACCGAGAATGTCGCGACGACTCTGGAAAGGCGGTAAAAAGACGGGTTACGTGTCCCAAGAATACGGAACTTTTCAGGTCAGAGAATTGTCACAATTCGTGGGGCCGGTGATGTAGTTATATTTGACCCGTTATACTTGGAGTATCATCCCTTTATAGATGTTAACAAAAATCCCATGACTCTCCCATTACCTAACCATTGTTGATGGGGTAGATCCCAATTTTTGATGGCTGAGTCACCATTTTTACCTGAGGGTTTAAGTTATATCATGAGAATATCGTATCGAAAATCATTGACCCATGCATGACCCACATATTCTAGTTGGAGGATCATCCCATTGTTCTTGTACTATACTTGTTTATACATTTCCATTATAGTCAGCATATTATCGGATGGTAAGCCAAA